AGTATTATGCTTTTATAATTATTCAAAATATTCTATCATGTTATTATTAACTATTCACCATTATTATTTAAAAATAATAGATGTAAAAAGATTAATTGAATTAACAGGAGGTCCAAAACTCTTTGAAGAACGACTTGACAAAACATTTTCCAATAAAACTTATCTAAATAGTTATTATAACATAGGAAATGAACCTGATTTCTTTCATGTTTGTTTATATCATTTTATTGGAAAGCAATATAAAAGTGTTGAGGTTATTCGAGATATTTTAAAAACTAGGTTTGGAAGTGGGCAGGATGGTGTGCCAGGTATGTTGTAAATTAGTATAATCTATAAACAATTTTAAAATATAAAATTAATTTATACGTATGATTATTTATCTTATTGAACAGGAAATGATGATTCAGGAGCGATGGGAAGTTGGTTTGCTTTTAATGTAATCGGATTATATCCACTGTAAGTTATAAATCATTACTTATTATAGTATATCAATATATTTATACTCTTTATGTTAATTGAATAATATTTTTTTAATAATAGGGCCGGCACGGATATATATCTAATCAACTCACCACATTTTAATAAAGTAATAATATATATGTCACCACAAAAAACATTTACAATTTTGGCCCATAATTTAACGAGCGAAACTCACGCAAATCCATATGTTCAAAGCGTAAAGATCAATAATAAAAATTGGAAAAAAACGTGGTTTAGGCACTCTGATATTACAAATGGTGCAATTATGGAATTCGTAATGGGTCCAGAGCCAAGTAAAGTTTGGGGTGTTATTGGAGAAAATGATGATAAAATCGATGTGGAAGATAGAGTAGTGCCTCCTAGCATGAGTAGTACTAATATTGATGACTAAATACATAAATAGAATCACATTGGTAGCAATAGAACAATAGAATAATTTGATGTTATTTATTACATGTACAGTATATTATTACAGTTTGGTTAAGACTATATATAATATATATAAAATTTAATAATAAATTTTTTTTTAATATACAAAAATTTTACTCTTTGGCCTTCTAGTGCTTCATAGGCTTTCTGCTATCGTCATGAACAAATATATGCAATATTATTGTGACCGATTTTGTTCAAGCCACACGATAGAAAGTTCTTTGAGTTGTATAACGATACAAAGTACAATAAATGTACCAATAAAACTAACGGCCGCAAAAATGGCACGAAAATAGGAAACAACTTCGTTGGCAGTAATATGATTCCAGAAAGTGAATAAATATTATATTTATTGCTATGTAGTTTAATAATAATTGTTATAATTAATCAAACTAAACTAATGAAATGTTTTTACACATGATATTGTTATCTATATTTAGTGATGTTATCCTGCTCCAACCGGTTAGTTTGTGCTTAAAAACCCGTTTGAACACTGCCGATTTTCGAACTTAGTTTATATCAATGTAATAATAATTATGCTCGATGCATTTACATAAAAACCTATTTTCGAAATTAGTTCACTAGTAATTATGCTTGCATGTGCTATCGCTATTACTTTTTATTAAAGCAAATACATTTAAAAATATATGCATTATAATGTTATTGCATTTATTGCATCTATCGCTGTTATTTATTTATCCAATTATTAACTTTAATTACAGTCAATACCCGCTTCATACCAGGTCAAGGCAGAGGCATTTTTCTCAGACAACCTGTTACGTATTGGGTTGATGGTATTTTTTGCTTTCGAAAATATTTCTTCACTCGGTACACATGTCACTTGTACGATCAAGTAGTCTCTTGCCATTCTCGAGTGCCACTTCTCTACATGATTATTTTTAAAATGGGTTTTAATAGTAGAGAGACCTGTTTCCATTGAATAGGGCCTACCACAAAGTTTACAATGTCGTTTATCACCGATTTAGTAAGTTCGTTCCAGAAAGGGTCCCTTTTTATTGCTTTGGAGGATGGTTCGTTATTTCCGTAAGGGTTCCAGATTCAATTAGATTTTGAGATATTGAGCTTGAAGCGATAGGTTCAGTTGAATCAATAAGTTCTTCCAAATGTATTGTCTTCATCCAATGAACAGTGAAATTAAGTAAAAAAAAAAATATGTAGAAAAGAGTGTGCATATTTGCAAAAACATTGTTTTTAACCAATTGATCCATTCTTATTGACCCACCCTAAAAAAAAAAAAAAAA